ACAGACATTCTCCCATTTCCTCCCCCAAACCAAATCATTGTCTGCAGTGCTTGGAGTGAGTGGACCACACTTTGAAGTCTCCTTGTCCAGGACATGGACGTCTCTAAGAATCCTTTTCTCCACTGCATGCTCTGGGAATGGCTGCTTTGGGGAAAAGTGTCGTTGCTTTGGGACTGGATTTTCACAAATTTCGGCACCCAGGGGATCTGCAGATGGATGGCAGTGCTGGCCAAGTTCACGGTACCTGTCCTGACTAATTACTTTGCTATCCTCTTGAAAGCCTGGGTACTTTGGAATTGTGGGGTGACCCTTTGGTGAAAGTTATGGCTTCTTGTTTGAGAAAAATGCACAAATAAAATTTCCATTCAGTTCCAGAGGGGTGCAGAATTCCCCTGAAGCTCATGATGAAGAACCTGTTCAGAAGTGAAAGGGGCAGATTAGATTTGGGAGGTAAGAAGGGGCCTGAACTCTAATTTCAAAGATACTCAGCTTTGCATCCCAGTCTTCTGATGATTAGCTGGGTTAACTTGGGCAGTTTTTCACTCTGTAGGATGGGTCTAATAACACTCACTTGGAACACTTTCCTTGTTTGCCACAACCTTTCAGCTTCGTTGACCTCATTTGTTCTTCAGAGATCTGAATTCTCTTATGCCTCAGGGCCTTTGCACTTGCTGCACCCTCTGCTTAGAATGTTCTTCCCATCATCTTTTTGTAACCAACTCTTTCTCACCATTTAGGGCTCAACTCAAATGTCACTTCCTCAAAAAGTATTTTTTTCTGATCACCCGTCTCCCTCTTTCTCTCAGTTTATTTAGACTTTTTCTAAAAAAAGTATAAATCACTGGTTTTCAGTATATTCACAAAGTTGAGCAACCATTACCACTGACTAATTCTAGAACATTTTCATCACCCTGAAAAGAAACCCCTCACTTATTAGCAGTCACTTCCCATGTCTCAGAAAAATCCACCATCTTAACCATTTTAATTTGTACTATCAGTGCTTTTTTGAATGTCGCCATCATAACTATCTAATTCGCAAACATTTCATTATCACAAAGAGAAACTCCATATACATTAAACTGTCACTCCCCAGTTCTCCCTCCCCTAGTCCCTGGAAACCCTAATCTGTTCCCTGTCTCCATAGGTTTGCCTATTCTGAACAGTTCATGTAAATAAAGTCATACAATATTTGTGTCTGGTCTCTCTCACTGAGCGCAATGTTTCCAAGTGTCATTCATGTTGTAGATATCAATACTTCATTCCTTCTTACGGCTGAGTAATATTCTACTTTATAGAACCCATTTTGGTTATTCATTCATCAGTTGATTTGGATTGTTTGAAGTTTTTTTTTTTGTTTGTTTGTTTTTTTAACCTCACCCGAGGACATTCTCCCATCCATCTTCAGACAGAGCAGGAGGGAGAGAGGGAGGAAGAGAGAGAGAGAAACATCGACATGAGAGAGACACATCGAGTGGTTGCCACCCATACAACCCCATCTGGGCCAGGGACAAACTGCAACCGAGGTACATGCCCTTAGCGGGAACCGAACCCGGGACTCTCCAGTCCACGAGCCGACACTCCAACCACTGAGCCAAACCGGTCAGGGCTGTTTCCACTTTTATTCTATTATGAATAATGCTGTCATGCACCAGTTTCTCTTGATCATGTTACACTTTTATTTATTTAATTTTGCAACCCTTGTCTATTTATTTAATACATATTTTTATGCTCAACCTTAGAAAATAAGCATCATGAAGGCAGTGATCTTGTCCAGCTCATACACTGCTGTATCTCCAGGGCCTTGAATAGCGCCTGGCACATAGTAGGCAATAAATATTTGTTGAATGAATGAATGAATGAATGAATGAATGTTATTGTTATGGTCTTATTCTTTAGCAGACTCAATCTTTTAAAAAACAATTTTTTTCTTTCTTGGTTTTTTAAAGAGGGGAAGGGAGAGGGAGAGAGAGATGGAAACATCAATGAGAAAAAACATAAATTGGCCGCCTTCTGTATGCCCCCCACTGGGGATTTGGCTCACAACCTGGGCATGTGTCCTGACTGGGAATTGAACTGGTGACTGCTTGGTGCATAGGTCGATGCTCAACCACTGAGCCACACCAGTCAGACAGCAGACTTAATCTTTTCCTCTAATTTATGTGGGACTGTTGCTGTGTTGACCTGTCCCTCTCACATCTGACGCTTTTCACCAGCTGTGGTTCTTTGCCCATTGTCCCATGAGCAAGTATTTCCCCAAGCTCGGGCCCTCTGTACCCTACTCCAATCTCTCACTTGACTGTGCAGCACACTCACATGGAGGGTCTGTGAAAACACAGAGAGCTGGCCCTGGCCGGTTTGGCTCAGCATTTGGAGGGTCGGCCTGTGGATCAGAGAGTCCCGGGTTCAGTTCCCGCTAGGGGCACGTACCAAAAGAAACAAAAACCAAAAAACAGAGAGCTGGGCTGAACTCTTGGAGTTTCTGAGTCAGTAGGCCTGGGTGGATCTGAAATTTTAATATGTTCCCTGGGGATGCTCTTGCCCTTGGTTGGCAGACCACTGAGCATCTCTGCTAAGGTGGGGTCAATTTCAACAGACAAGCTGGGCCCACTCAATTCATAAGTGGTACGTGTGGGCCTCACCCAAACAGCTCATCTTCCTTCTCTGTCTCCCTTGATACGGACTCAGAGGGTTTTAGTTAGTTAGTTAAGAGCACCTGGATAGGTCCTACGACATTGCAGTGTCAGTTGGCCTCACCCTGGAGAAGCTCTCCCTGGTCCAAGAGGGACATGCATGAGGATGTGTATTGCAGTGTTGTTTCAGAGCCAGGGGTTGGTGACCACTGAGGTGTCCATAATTAGGAAATGGAAAAGCTGGGCTGATATTCTGTTGGTTCTCAGTGAAACAATGGGATGTTTACAGCTGGCATCCATTCTGATTGGTCAGTCCCCCGCCATGTTAGTTGTTTTATATTGAGACTATTATTTCTACAGTAAGGAAACTATGGGAGTTGCATATGTTATAATGATGCAAGTGAGTAAAACACACACATATGCAATAATACCTGCAGTATTATTTATCTTTTGAGGATATTCATATACCTAAATAAACACATGATTGAGGCTAAAGAGAAACAAGTGTGTTAGTGAGGTCCCACCTCAGGTGTGAAATCTGTTTGACACTGAGCTTCTTTCCTAGGCTTACATTTAAGTGTGAAGGTTACTGTTATGGGTTGAATCATGTCTCCCCAAAAAGACATCGAAGTACTAACACTTCTTGTCCTCTGAACATTACCTTATTTGGAAATAGACTAGTTGCAGGTGTAGTTAATTAAGATGAGGTCATACTGGAATTGGGTGGGCCCTTAAAAGATGCATGCTTGAAATTTGCTAAAGGGTAGACACACACACACACAAATAGTAACCATGCGTGATGGAAATGTTAAATAGCTACATTGTGGTGATTATTTCTTAATGTATACTTATATAAAAATAACAAGTTATACACCTTAAGTATACACACTCTAATTTGTGCATGATACTTCAATAAATCTGGGGGTTGGGGGAACAGCTTTTAGAGTCAAGAACTTTAAAATGACTGCCATTAATTTTATGGCTCACTGATCTAGCTCTTAAGCAATCAATAGTGATTTTCCAATAAAAATGTAAAGTTAATAAGAAAAAAAAATGCCCATTGAAGACAGAGACACATTAGAGTGCTCTGTAAAGATGGGGGCAGCGACTGGAGTGATGCGGTGTGAAGCACTGAATGCCAGAGATTTCCAGCAAACTACCAGCAGCCCGAAAGAGGCAAGGGAGGATTCCCCTGTGGGTTTCAGAGGGAGCAGGGCCCTGCTAACATCTTTTATTTTTTTTCTTTATTGATTTTAGAGAGAGAGGAAGGGAGAGGGAGAGAGGCAGAAACATCGATGAGAGAGAACATGGATTGGCTGCCTCCGGTTTGCCCCACTGGGGATTTGGGCCACAACCTGGGCATGTGCCCTGGTCAGGAATCGAACCAGCAACCTCTTGGTGCATGGGTTGATGCTCAACCACTGAGCCTCATTGGCCGGGCAACATCTTGATCTTGGCCACCAGAACTGTGAGACAATAACTTTCTCAGTTTTAAGCCACCTAGTTTGTGAGACTTTGTTATAGCAGCCCTGGGAAATGAACACAGTTAACTTTAACACCTCTCAACTTGCTTCCTTATTTATAAAATAACAGCAATAAGAATACTAACCCTTGGGTGAGTGTCAAAGAGATGAAACATGATGATAAGTGGAAAGCACCTGAAACGTTGCTGGTGCCCCAGGTTTACACTTTTCCTCCATCCCCAGCTACTGATTAAGAGGAGTGCCAGCATGGGGTGTGTAGGGATCACACCACATCTTCCATAGTTATACTGTGCACAGTTACACACTGCACAGGGCTGTGAGTACTGACTCTCGTTCAAATCCCAGTGCCACAACTTGCTGGCTGTGTTACCTTGAGCAGGTTAATTTACCTCTCTGAGACTTTACTTACCTGCAGAGATGGAGTAATGATCCCCGTAAGGTGTTTATAGGCTTCTTAGTTGAATTAAGGCATGTAACGTGATTAGCATAGTGCCTGGCTTATGGTAAGTAATACATGTTAGGTGTTACCAATAGTGGGCCATTGCTATACATGAAGTGTTGGTATCTAGCATTAATATAAGGTGGGGACTACATCTTTGGGGTGCAGACACATGACATATATTCATCATTTAGTCCTCTCAACAGCTCTGTTCAGTAGCTAGAACTGCTCTTACACAGCTATTGTGGAAGCACATGAGCTATTATGCATGAAGTCCTCATGGAACCTCTAATTGCACTTCTCTTATTTGCGTACTTGTGTCTTTTCCTCCCTCTTATTCCTCACTAGAGGGGTCCTGTCTTTTGTTTGCAAGCATAGTGCTCAGAGCACAGCAGATGCCAATCATTGTGTTTTAAATGAACAGATTTAAATTCTCTCTTCTTTCAGGGCCCTTGCAGATGTCATGAGGCCCCAGGGCCACTGCAACACTGACCACATGGAGAGAGACCTCAACATTGTGGTCCACGTGCAGCATTATGAGAACATGGATACCAGAACCCCCATAAATAATCTTCGTAAGTAGAGCTGCGTGATCTGTTTCTAGTACCTCATGGTGACCAAGGCGGTGGTCACACTTTCAGACTTCCTGGTGTGTGTTTGGGTCTGTTAATCGCTCCTTTTCATTGACTAGTTAGAGGTTTGATTTAATCTCTCCTGGATGGAGCTGTGTGTGGCATCATCCGACTTTACTTACTTTGTTTCTCTGTGAAAGAGTGATTCACTTGGTTGGTTTCTCAGAATTGGTTCTTCTGTTAACTAGTAGACCACTTGGTTGGTTCAACTTGATTGGATACTTAGTTAACCACTGGGTTACGTGGTTGGTTCATTTTGGGTAGTTAATCTGTTAGCCAATGACCCATTTTGTTGGTTCATCTTGATTAGGTAATTGGTTCACCAATGGTCCATTTGCTTATTTGTCTGCCTCCTCAGGTAGACCAGTTGTGACTTCTAGGTTTTCTACTGCTTTCATTGAATAGACACTAGTTCAGAAGAATTGGATCTATGTTTCATAAAACTAGAATTTCATAAAAGTCCTCCACAAATTACTTTGTGGGTGTTTGTGTGTGCGCGGGCTTGTGCACCTTTGTGTGTTGGGAGTTGTGATTATGTTGTTTTGGGGGGGTGTGCGTGACTCAACAGTAGCAAATGCCATTCTGTTACTCTTTCAAGGAAAGAAAAGGTGCATTTGTTATTGTGTTTTATTCTTTAGCTGATGGAGCCTACTTGGGGATCTTGGTATGCTCCCAAAGATTTTCTTTCCTTTCAAAGGTCTGTATATACAACATACATTATGAATTTGATACACTGACTAATGGGAGTGGGGAAAAACAAGACTTTAATTTTCTGACAATAGTGTACTACTGTTGTTATTCCTAGCAATTATGCTTTCAAGTAACCCCTACATTAAAGTAATGAAGAGGGTTTGGTTTTAGAATAACAAAAGCCAGACAATTTAAAGGATGCACTTAGTTGTGACTGGGGGAGGGGGGTTCTTAAAAACAGAGTTCTGGCATTGAACTTTATAGCCTGGGCCACCTTTGTCGAAGCTCCACGAGTTGCTGCATTGGTGTTTTATTTGTTGAATTATAGGTTAGGACTGTTTGGTTACAATTTTTTTATGCTTGATAGGTAGAGAAATATATGTCTGTGGAATTTGACATAGGTGATGTGAATTCTCTGATTCTGCATGGTCATAATTTTTCATTGCCTTGGAAATGTTACAGTACGTTCACAAAGTCAATGTTTACATGATTCGAAAATGGGCATCAAATAGAATGTCTTGGGTTTCACTGTTTTAAATAATTCAACGTTATTTATTTATGAACCAGGTCATAAAATGGTATGAGAAGAGCCACATTTTAGAGCAAAATACACCAGCCATTGGAAGTTTTATGACCACATCTCACAGCCGTAAACGATATGTTACACTGCACAGACTCTGACATCAAGATTGCAGTGTCCAATTCTGGCTTCGGTGGGAATAAGAGCCTTCTCTTTTCGGTGGTGCTGGGAAAGAAGCTGAACCTATGTGTACTTGGATCCAAAACACCATAAGTGGGTGAACGTGATCATGTAGTAGACAAAGCTGAAATTTTGCTGAGTCCCTGGCTATAAAAGGTGACTGTTAATCAGTTTCCCGTGAGACATTTCAATCTTTAGGATGATTTTGAATCAGCACTCAAATGGAGTGACAAACTTCTTGAAGTCATCTAAGTGTCATTATTCCACCATGCGAAGGACAGGATACATGAATGAATCTTGCTTAATAAGGGGCTTTTAAAAAAAGTTGTACTGAAATAAATTACTGCTTAGAAATGAGCGTCTAGGCACCCAGTAATTCAGAAATCTCTTGTGGCAGGCTAACTTGGTTTATTTATAATTCTTGCTTTTAGTTTTTATTTGTGTCTCAGTAATCAGGGTTCTTTTATACCAAGAAAAAAAAATGTGTCTTGTAGTATTCTACAGGGTGAAATATAGGGGAGAATTTCAGGTGTAATGTCGCAAACTTTGCATCCTCACAAGAATGATCACAGATGTTAATTTCATATAATCCTGCTAGGTTGACCCAATTTTTATTTCCTAGAATTCCTGTAAATGTTTAGAAAATAAGACACATATAGCTTTTCCACAGATTTACATTAATATGTTTAATTTATATAACTAATTCAGTAGTTGGTAGTAATGTTAGCTTTTCTTGTAATGACTTTATCTTTTTATTGATCTATAGGGGTTATTTGTATATTATAGACACAGGGAACATTTGCATGTTCAGAAGAAGGAATGATTTTGGAGTTTACTAAGAGGATAGACTAGATGACTTATATTGATCAGTTATTAGGGGTTCAAGAAGTTAACCAGTAACCAGAGCTCACTTTGACCGATAGAGAATTAGGAGAGAAGGAATTTATTCTGATAAATGGAAAATTGCCAGCTCTTGGTGCCAGCATTAGAATGCACCTATTGACTATAAAAGCCTTTTCTAGACATTGTAGAAGTTACAAAGAGTTACTATTACAAAAAATGAAAAGAAAGATATGTCTGCCTGTGATATGCCAAAAAGGGGGCACATTATGCTATTTTCAAGGTGCTCTTCACTAAACATCCAAGTTACCAGATTTGACTGGGAACCCAGTAGTCCCAACTTAAAATATCTTTTTCATTTCTATTCGATGACCTACTCGACATTGCTTTACGAGATGCAATCATCTCCATCTATTTCTCTCTGCTCATCTTCTTAATTCTAATGGTAGATCACTTCCTGATCTTTCCTTTATGCTTGGGTCAGGTGCTAAGAGAACCAAAAGTCAGGGTAGAAGTCTGGATATTTAGAAGTAGGTAGTGGAGAAGGACTAGGGTGAAGTCAGACAGGGAGGAGAAAGCTTCAATTTGGGGACATTTTTGCCAATCTTTCTTTATGAATTTCCTACAGTTGCTTTTTCCTGTGATAGGCAGGACTTGCCTCTTTATCCAAAGATGGGTTTTTCTTCAGCTGATGCTGTTCATGTTTTTTTTCCCAGGCATTCAGTGATATTGCCTAAAAATATTTAGTCTGATAATCAAAAGGGCCTCGACCTCTTTGATTAACAGGATGTAGATTCAGATGAGATAGTGATTTTCTGCAAATGCTCCTTGGCTTCTGTATAATTATAGTTTGCTTTTGAAGGCACATTCTGTCCTCAAGTGCTATGAATGGACTCTGTCTCCCCCACCCTGGCCTCCCTGCCTGCCAGTAACATCCCCACCCCTTTTGGGAGTGTAGAGTAAATATAGGTTCCTTTCAGTCTTAAGAATGGGAGATGAGAGTGAGGGGCTATGGATACAAGGATACAACCTGGATCAGCAATTCTCAGCTCCTTCGTGTGAACAGCACATTTTATTCATTTATTAGTTTTAAAACATATTAAAACAATTAAAAAATTAATTTTGAGAAAGAGAGGAGGGGAGAGGGGGAGAAAGATAGAAACATCAATGAGAGAGAGCATCGATTGGCTGCCTCCTGCATGCCCCCCCACTGGGAATTTGGCCCACAGCCTGGGCATGTGCCCTGACTAGGACTCGAACCAGCAACCTCTTGGTGCATGGGTCAATGCTTAACCACTGAGCCACACTGGCTAGGCATGAACAGCACACTTTAAAAAAAATATTTTTTATGTATTGATTTGAGAGGGGAGGGAGAGGGGGAGAGGGAGAGGGAGAGAAACATGGATTTGTTGGTCCATTAATTAATGCATTTATTGGTTGCCTCTTGCATGTGTCCTGACTAGAAATTGAACCTGTAACCTTGGCGTATTGGGACGACACTCTAACCAACTGAGCTACCTGCCTAGAGCAGCCTACTTTTATTTATTTATTCATTTATTTATATTTTTTGGTACATGCCCCTAGTGGGAACCGAACCCGGGACTCTCTGGTCCACAGGCCGATGCTCTATCCCCTGAGCCAAAACAGCCAGGGCCGCATACTTTTATTTTTAAATAAAATTTTAATTTTGATATAATTTTATATTTATAGAAAAGATGCAAAGAGCATCTTTGCTTGTCCAGAGTTCTGTATACGCCTCATGCACTCTCCCCCAATGTGAACATCTTACATTACTGTGGTACATTTGTGAAAACTAAGAGATCAACACTAATGCACTATTTTTAGCTAGACCGGAGATACTTGAATTTCACTAGTTTCTTCACTAATGCCTTTTTGCTGTTCCAGGATCCAATCCAGGATACTACATTATGTTTAGTACAGCAAACTTGATAGTAGAATTTTAGTTGTGCCGTATTGTTTAATGAGGTAGTAAAGACTAGAACCAATACTAAATAAGGCAGCAGCAATTACAAAGCCTTTATTGCCACAGTATAAAAGAGATGTCTTCCAGTGTTTCTAAAGGCATCCATATAAAAGTACTCACCTGGTCAGCATTGGAATGGACCCAGTTGCTGTCACGACTGTGATCTCACATACACACTCATGGCTCTATACGAACATATGGCCCTCTTCCAAACAGAGTGATGTCACACTGTTTGCTTTACAGCGTAATCTGTGCAAGTGAGACCTCACCCCAAACTGAGGAGAAATGCTGGCTTGACATTTTAGAACACAGAATCCATCAGAAAGACCAGGCTAGTTTTAGCCTCACCCACCCCTACTCCCCCAGGACTATTCCCAGGTGGATTTACAGGGAACCATATGAAAAGCAGTTCCACGGTTAAGTTTCTGAAGATGTTATACAGCTTGTGTCTAGGGCCAGATGGATTTCTATTCATTTTTCCATATTTACCAAGGCACTCAGATGTCCTAGACTTGACTTTTGGAGATACTGGTAGGAATATTTTCAAATATTTTTTAAAAATTGGGAGGAATGTCCTAATCAGGAAAGGCAGAAGGGTAAGTATAGATATAAGAATGTATAAAAATGAAAATTATGTAAGATAGTGTAATATTAACAGTACCTTAGAGAGCATTCTAAGTCCCCAACACATTGAATCTTCAAAACCTTATTAGGTTACTACTATTATTT